AAAGTTTACCTTGGGCAATTGCCAGATTCGCACTATAGTAAATTTATATAGTAATCTGAGTTACATTTTACTATGATTATTCTTTAGCTAACTGGTAAATCATCAATTAATACATTATTGTTAATAGCGTTTACTCATAATACTTCTGGTGAATTCTTGACCAATAGAAATATAAACAATAGGGGGTTTAAAAGTTAACAAATAAGTGATGCATTTCAAAAATAAATAGGATCTTTCAATAGTATTTTTACTATGTTGAATTATAAATTGGCAAAATAAGATTTTCTGGTTTTAACTTTGAAACCTCCTAATACTTGCTGAAACTATTTTTATATCTAAAATATTTCTGATATGCAAAGCATAATAAATATTCAATCCAATTAAAAAATATATTACAAGTTGAATTTTCCAAATATTACTGACTGATTTCGAGAACATTTAGATTATTTGAAGTTTTCCATTCAATTCAATAATATCATAAATCCTTTTAATAACACAGTAGAACTATTTTTGGGTTAGAGTAATTAATTTATTGGATATTTGACAATTTAAAATTGTGTAAGAACCTAGAATCACCAACTTTCTTGTATATTTAAAATAAAAGAATATATTAATTCTGTTTGAAAATTATGTAAAGTTTGCAAATCAAAAAAAATAATAATTTCTGATTTCTTTAACATCACTTCTGAAAACATTTGTATATCAACTAATATTATACTATATGAAGACTTATATGCAGTGATGCAAAATTGGACATTTAAATAGCTTGTATTGGATGTCCAATCGTGATTTTTGGACTTCGGATATCCAATGGTCCAATGGTTTTGATTGGATATTGGATGTCCAAGATTCAACGATTTGAATTGTAAATAACAAAACTGCTTATATATATATATAAATCATATACATTTTGGTTTACATTTTTAAAAAAATTATTCCTAACGGCTGAAAATTATTATCCAGAACATGCTTTGAATGCACAAAGTGTCTTTTTGTACAAATTCTAAAACTTATTATAACTGTAAAAAAATATATTTTCAACAAAAAAATTATAACTAAAGTTCTTTATGCTTTGAAATTCTTTTAGCAATAAACAAATAAATATTGTAATAATTCTTGTAAGATTGAATTTGGTGTCTTTTAAATTTTCTTGCTCATCATATAATAGTAAATTTTATTGGATATAAATAAAGCAAATTTTAATAATACACAATAAAATTCTTTACAACGTTAATATGTAAATTATATTTCTACAAAAGATACAAATATGTTACAAATTAATGAATCTACAACATCATTTCTGCAAAAAAAAATATGCTAAAGTCGGTAATCAGAAATCATCGATTTTTTTTTGTTAATTTCACATAATTTTGCAAATCGCAATAAATAAAAAGAAATAAATAGGGAGTTTCAGAATTAATGATTCAGTGTCCAATTTAAAATAAAAAGTATCATAAATGGCCAGATACAAGATTCTCTAGATAGTAGACCCCACTATGTAATGTATCCGGGTGCAAATCACAGAATCATTAACTAAATAGATTTATCCCCTGCTCAACCCCATCCATATTACATTTTTCATGTACTTATATCTACTAGTACATGTCATCAGATTCTTATTTTTACTGGTGCATATTAGGGTATCAGTAATAGTTATATCCTGGGTAGTCAGATATAAGTTGAATGTAAATTCTATTTGAAATAAAGAATAAAATGCATAAGTGACTAAAATTTCCCGACTGTCATATATTGACCAGGATATAATTAAACTATTTGATGATTTAACATTAATAATATTTGGTTATCTCATAATATTGTACTGGTAAAAAATGTTAGAATTATTGGTCTAAATAAAGTTTAAAATGTTTGAATAAACTATTTACTTTTTGAATAAATACGCAAAGTAGTTATTCACAAGAGAAGCGCCAAAATATTGTCTAACATGAAAATTCATATGCTTAATATTAATATTGGTTTAAACAATTTTAAAAATAACCAGAAGTAATCCTAAAGTATGCATAAAGTAAGATTATATATCAATATAGAGCAGGTAAATTTAATGTGTTATTTCAATAATACACAGCCAATTTAGCAAAAAAGAATTACATATTTTTCTTAGCATTTTTAGCATATACAGATTACATAATGTACAAATTTAAACAGTACATTAATTGTTAAAATCGAAAGTAATATTTTTGCACTTTATAAATTTTATTTTTTTTGATAAGTTGATATTCACTAGACTGCTTTTTAAATATAATATTATCGTTATTATTAGAACTAATCAGGTTGTTTGTTTCATTCAATGGGATTTTTGAAATTTCAGAAGTTACTTCTTGATTAGCATTAGATTTAGTCTAAAAAAGCAATTAGTTTATAAATACTTATAATGATAAAACTTAAAATCAAAAAATTACTAATAAGATTAGCTTACAGTAGCAGTAGTCGAATCTTGTAATTGTAAAGTTGATATATTAGAATTCAGCATTGCTTTATTTTGAGAATTTTTGCTATCTAATTCTTGTCTTGGTAAAATCTTAATTGTTAATATCAATGCAAATTAGTATTACCATAGTAATTATATAATTAAATAAAATAAATTACTAAATTTATAATAAATACATTATTCACAGCAGGAAGTGCAATATTTGCAACCTTAACTTGTTAATTTTCATTTTGCCTTCTGTAGTGATTAAGCCCAACTAAAGAGCGATGAAGTGTAATACTCATAATTGCTTGAGGGTCAACATTATTATCATTAAGTTTTTGTGCAGTAGTTTTGCACGAAGAATGATTAACAATTTGTCAATTTGCACAATCAATTCCAGTTAGATCACAAATTGTCTTTAAAACTTTGAATAATGAGTGTACCAATATTCTCATTTTATTTCTAATAATAAAATTTAAAATTATCGCTGTTTTTGAAATAGTTAAAAATGGCAAATAAATTTTTTTTTTGACGTACACCCGAACACACGTACACACGTACACATGATTAGCTAAGAACTTTGATTGAAGATTGATGCCCGATTTTATTAGCATCGTGATTGTTCACCTAACAATGGTCATTCGTACAACCGGGTAACTAATTTATACTGTATAGTATTTATATATTTTACCGTGCTTCTTAAAATAACTACAACGATCTTAAAATAACTATGACAATATTACCTTTTAATATTAACGTTCAACGTGCAGAGGAATCAAAATTTTGACTCCCGGGAAACAGAATTTAAAAGGTCTGGATTTAATACTTGAAGGTTTTGTTTGATTAATAGACGTTCGTGGAACTAGCTTCTGATTCAAATACCTACTTTAGAGCGTACCCCAATTAGCTTGGTTTATCCGGAAGGTACTATGTAAGAATGATCAGACATTAATGATAGTTTTCTTTTTGTCGATGTAGTTTTAGACCGCCTTGTTCCAGATTTACGCTGGCGTAGACTTGTATCATCAGAAGAGACCTCTGAATAAGTTTGTGGTGGTGCTGAAGTACTTCCTGTCGTACTCTCATATGAAATAGGTGATGTCATGATATTTTTTCTATTTAATCAATTGAACATTATCGTTATCAATCAGTATATTAATTAATTTCTCGGTTTAAATTCTCTTGAG